TCAACTGCTGGGATTTTGATCATAGCCAACTAGCGAGAATCTGCTAGAAATTTATATTCACAATTTTACTCACTGTCTTAGCCAAAAGTTTTCTCACACTTTTCGGCAACGTATCGATGATTTTCAAGTAGCTCAAGCTGACCGTCAGTGATTTCAGAATGAGGCCATTTTCAGACATGAACACTGATGTATGATCGCTCATTCTTCATCTGATACTGCTACTTATGCTCGATGGCCAATGTCAAGGTATCTTTTATTTTTAGTACCCGGTTTTTGTCTGGTCGTATTGTCCTGATGTGCAATAGCGGGTGCGGACTTTACCGTTTCAGTATCCGAAACGGGTGTGAGACTCGGCTTTTTCCTTCATACCCGGAAGTCAAGCTTATGAGAAAGCAATCCTGACCAGTGGATGTCGGCGCGCTCCTAGAGATTTTCCAGTTTAGGTATCTCGGCTTCGTCATCTCCAGTGATGGCACTATCCAACCAGAATTAAGCAGGTTGATCTCCTAGTTACCAATGCTTTTGGTAACTTGTCCAACGTTGCGGCTGAGAAAGAAGTTACTCTTCCAACGAAAATCCGCCTTTACCGTACCCCAGTTAGGTCATGCTGTTGGATGACATGGAGACTTTTGTTCTAACGATGGAGCATGATTTACGACTGAGCTACGCACAGCAGCTCTGGGCTTTGCTGCACAACGAGAGTTAAATAGCAAAGCCACGTAAGGAATGACTGTTTTTTCAGGCATGGAAGACCCTTTTAGATGTAGAGCTTAAGAAAATCAGTATGATCATGTTAGACAAACTGGTTCGACATAAACCAGTTGCTGCAGCCCGTGAACTTCTCCCGTTGCTTGTCAAATTATGACAGATGTCAACCAGAATGCTCGCATGCAAAATGGAGAACCAACGTAAAGGCAGATGTGTTTTTGAAGAGGGACATTTCCTTCCACGATGCATAACAGGCGCTTACGAAAGAAGTGTTGAAACAGAAACGCCGCGAATGCAGCTTAAATATCAAACAAGAATCCTTGTACTTATTCAGACGAATCAGAGATGATCTCAACAAACACGCCCCGTGTTTTCTGTACATTCTCATACAGTGCAAGAGCACGGTCATTAATCTCGACTGTCTTAAATTCTTTGTGATCTATAATTGATATGCCTGGATTGCGATATACTGTTATTATGTCTTATTATTAAGATGAACATTTTACTTATTTTTGTCTCTGTGACTTTAATCGTTTTGTATCGTTTTATACTGCATGTACATAAAAAGCTGAAATGGAAGTGGCGAAATAAAATAAATCATAACTAATGATCTTTTCTTGCCAGAGAGACTTTCCACGCTGACGGAGTAACCTTTCCATTACAGACGGTAGAGTAAATTACCCAGGAAGATCATCACTTAGTTGAAAAGAACAATGAAGAAGATCTGCAGGACAAAAATGAAAAGAACAAGAAGAAAAAGAAGAAAATAGAGGGGAGAAAAAACTGATTTATTCGAATCGGTGTAAAGAGTACTCAGAATCTAAACATGGCATATACCAGTGATTGGTTATAGATCTTAATTCATAAACAAGGCTAAACCAAATGAATAAAATTAAATTAACGACTCACCCTTCGTAGTGTGAGTTATCGAATGTTGATACCAAGGAAGAATGCGACAGAAACAGGGTTGATGGAGGTACTTCGATGACAAGATGACTACAGCCGGCGATGAACCAAGAGGATGAACATTGGATTCGTTGAAAATCACACATCTTCGTAATTCCATGCACTTTGGTCGATCTTGCAGCGTATGTGTATGTGCACCAACGTCATTTCGGCTATGTGCCAAGGACTGCAGTGATTAAACTGATATTCAGCGAGTTCCTTTCGAACTTGCTCCCTTCCATAAACTTAGCCAATAATCGAAATTTACAACGGTTGGCAAGAAGTTATTGTTTTATTAGTTGATACTTGGTTGCCTGTTGCCTCTGCAGAAAGCGAATTATTTAAAAATACAAGTTTTTGTAAATAATTAATTGTGACATTGTTTAAACAGCGCGAAGATGAAGCCGGACGATAAGGAATGCAACAAAGAGCCGAATCCAGATGAGAAAAGACAACGTCTAACGTCCTTCCTCATCATGGATTATATTATGTTCGCTTTGTCTCTACATTTTTCAATCTATTTCGCTTCTCTATGGCCATATATGTCACTGGTAGGATGTCTTCATCAAGTGTTGCTGAAAAGTGTGCATACTACTTTTCTGTAGATCGACCCGGAAGCAACCGAAGAATTTTTTGGTTGGGTGGTTGCCATGTTTTCCCTTGGGCAGATAATCGCATCACCTCTTTTCGGTCTTTACAGCAGTCGCAGGAATACCGTCAGAACGCCGTGCATAATAGCCGCCGTCGTAGCGATCTGTGGAAATCTGCTCTACATATCCGTCTCAGAGCTACCATCCGGCCGCAGACATGCGATCGCAGGTTCACGACTGATCATGGGATTTTCCGCAGGTAAGCCTGAGAATATTAAACCGTTAAAATAATCGTGCTTTAAAATTGTAGGAAGTAATCTAGCCTGCTAGTGGTAGGGTATTCGATAAAATAGAGAAATATTTTCGAAACGTATTAAAAAATCATCAGTATTCGTCAGTCGGTCAGTCAATGGCCGCTTAGCGTTTCGGGTCGTAGAGGCCGACGCATCAGTTAATGTCTCCAACACTCCCTTCTTTCTGTCCTGTTCCAACCTTTGAGTTTCGGCAGATAACCGGAGTCTGGAGCGGTGTCTTTTCATGCACTTGGCTAGGTTAACTCTTGGAAGTCTCTTGGGTCTTCGGCCGTTCGAGGACAAATCTTCAGGCTGCGACCCTTGTGCGCGTCATTGTCAATGTACTCAGTGTCTTGGTCGTCCTTGAGTGTTTTATGAAACTGACCTAGTGCCTTTCTGTTCTGTCTGAACGGTTTTCTCATATGCCTAGTATGTTTTGGTGCAAAGCACAGATTTAGACGATCTTTTTCTATCGACCTCGTTGCTATATATTACCATGTCTTGGAACAGCGTGATTTCTGCGTTTTATTTATAAATGACACTCCAGTGTTAAAGAACTGCAGCGACTTCGCTGAAAGACGGTACTTGCATATTTTTCCTATGTACTTTAGCATCATTGCCTTGATTTATCTCAAGTTTTTAAATCCTTCAGCATATCATATTTCCTTAAAATTTTAAACTTTTGTCTGTTTGTTTAGTTTTTTCTGTTCAGGATATAACCATATAATCTATCAGATATGTTTTCACCCGCAAAATGTAAGAAATCGTGGGAAAGCAACCTTTATTCGTCTTAGTATAACCAATAAAACGGTTAGAGATTATAATGCTAAGCACTACAACTGTCAAAATGTTGTTAAACCTCCTTAATGTCCCTGTCTAAAGGTACAGGCATGGTATCCTAACGTGAGGAAATTCAGCTTGTTAGAGATCATATTGAGTATAATATATGAGTTTTGCATGCAGACGATGATAACGTGTTTCCAATGGTCACAAGCGGGTTTTTTAAAGCATTAAACCTTAAATTTTAAACATTATTCAGAGATGCTGACTTGCTTCACAAAACTCAGTAGTAGTTGTTACTTTGAAAACTGGCTGAAGTTGGTCTAAAACATCAGTCGCTATATATAATGTTTATATAAATGTTATACTTTGTTACCCGTTTGTGACTTTTCGAAACATAGTTAAAGTTAATAAAATAATTTGTTCGCTATCACTTGTCAAATAGTTTGGGACAATTCGTTATGATCACTCATAAATGGCTGATAATTTATTACATAGTCTTACTTAGGCGTGAACGGCTGTTGCAGGGCTTATATAGCCACGAAAAGCTTCGGTGCAAACAGAGACAGAGCAATTGCAATAGCCACGGCTGCTATGACGCTGGGACTGATTGCTGGACCAGGTGCTGGTGTTTTGTACGCGGTAAAACCTTGAGTATGACTGGACCTGTTTCAGTCATTCAAGCTGCAGTCTCATTCGTCGGCTATCCGGGACATTGGGTCGGTCCTATTCGTTTTGACATGTACACATTACCGTCGATGATCCTGATCATCTGTTGTGTCATAGGTATTGTACTGTTGGTATGGTTTTTCAAGGAAGATTTTAGCTGCCCGGTGAAAACTGAAAAAAGTAATCAAGGTGATGCTTCATATACCTGTTTCGTGCACCTGATTGCCAACCTGTGTTTAGCATCTGAAGACCGATTTAACGTTATACCAAAATTTAACCGCTTAGCTGCGCTTTTACTGTGCTGGTGTTGGTTCAGCACGTTCTTTACTATCACCAACATGGAGACGTAAGTCAAGAGATATCATTTACTTCGATTTATGTTGAAGATGAGTTGGTGAATTGCCATGAACGCTTATCCCTTGGATCGCCGAGGTAAATGCGTCAATCAGCGTTAACAACATTCCTCATCATATGTCAGCGCTTGAGCTTTCGCAGAAGATATCCTGAGTCAAAAACAGAGTCCGTCCAAACACTTGTTCCTGTAATTCTTGGCCATCTCCACCGGTTTTCGACCGTTCGAATTAGCAAGCAGTGATTGTTTTGTCTTCCAAAATCGTAAAAGGCATCAAACAGGGAGTCGAAATATAACTGAAACTATTCACGGCAGTTCAGGAAGATATTTTCAAGCCATCCCATTGAAAAAATCAAGAGCTGGATATAAGCAAGTCCTACTTAAGCCGCCTGCAGCTTCCAAATGGAATTCTGATTTTCTTAAGGTTACCTGAAGAACTCCAATGAGGAATGCAAGCGCTAAAAAGTGCCACTATAAGAGTAAGATTGAAAGTTTACCTGAAGTAGAGTCGGGTCATTTTTAACAAATACCTGACCGAATGACCTGTTGAAGTCAACGAAGAAGTGTAGTGCTACAAGAAGTGTATCAGCTCTCTGTCTGAACAGCGCATTTCTGTAACGGGAAACGAGCTATGTGAAATCAACAGAAGAACAGCAATGACGATGAGCTCGGTCGGAAGACTGACAATGCCATTATCTGGAAAACTAGCTCTGTGTTTGAATTGGACAGTATTCAGTCAGTATGTTCTCTCAATGCTTATCCACAGAGGCACTAATATAGGAAGCACTTGATGGTCTATAGTTTTTGCATGTTGGGAATATCATGAAGAACTAAGAAAAATAATGAATGGATGCGAGCATAGACAAGAGTCTGTGATATAACTGTCCAGTAAAGAAGTATTGGTGGTAATAGTGGTAATAAGTTGTAGTGGCAATGGTATAACAGATTACAAAAGAACCATCCATCGCTGATACAGAAAAACACTGAACTGGGTTTTGAGAAAAAGTATACAGCCCGTAGGAAGATATCCAAGTCGATTACAGGATGAGCTGAAGAAGTTCACTGCATCAAAATAAATCTAATTGGCAGATGGCAGAAGTTTATGAAATAGTCTTGAAAAAGTTTCCTTCTAGCTATGGATCCGCAAAAGCTGATGATGGTGATATCTTCTATTTTGGAAACATTGCTTTGTGTTGAGGATGAATTTCATGATGTCATCGCTTGTTGCAGGAGTCAGCCGAAAACTTAAAAGATTCAGTCGCTATATTCACGTTTACAAACAAATCATCCGTGATGCAGCAGCCTTCCCTTTGAGTCTGCTGCAGTGAGAGTCTATCGCGCTAACCGCTTTCGACTTGGGCTGCGTCATTTCAGCAATAAACGGCGCCGGTATCATTGAGCATTTGGTTGTCGATCGCTGTGATGTTACCTTCACCTTTGTCTGACGATGTGCCATTGATCGTAACCACAGTATGGTTTCAAGCAGTGCTGAAAATATGCTTAAATAAAGTTGAGTCTCCGGTAGCCCTGCTCGCTGCCGTTTAGTTCGTCACCTTTTTTAATTCGTTTAAAGATTCTGCTTCTTCTAGCCATGCTGACCATTTCCATTGTCTCTGTTTTTACGGTCACACGGTGTGGGCTTCAAGTTTTGTAACCTACAGCTGCTGAATCTTGCTGATTCAGTTTGTACAAAAGAATGTGGAGTATTTCCTTTTCTGTCGAACACGCGCCAATTTTTGGTTTGCCTAGCTGACATCCATGTTCACTTCAATTTTCTGTACGTCTTTTGGGCTCGATAACCCCGTCGGCACGTAACTGATTAACCCATCGATAAACTTAACTCCTTGTGTTGCCTACTTCAGCTCCAATGAGAACTGGTCTCGAGTTTTTCTTTCCCATCGTTTCTAGCGACAAAACAAATTCAGCCTTGCCTTCCATCTGCTTTACTCTCGGCCTTCTCTCTTTGCGCTACTAAAATTCTGTCTAGCATGATCCATTCCCTAATAACCTTTGTCCCCTACATGGTGATCCACCAGTTTGAAGGCATTGAGCAACAAAATTGCCATTTTGTTCACATGTGGGGCATGCACGTCTTGGGCGAACGAGAAATAGCATGGTTTGCAATCTCGCTCGAGTGAATCCCGCTTTTCGGCTCTTCATCGACTGACTCTCTACTGTTCCGATGGGCCAACTTCATCTGCATCATTTCTTACTCTAACTGCGTGGAGGGCAGAGATTTCTGCAGCCTTTGCCTCCTGTTGATCTGCAACATTTCCATAAAGCTCACCGAAGGACCACCGGCTCTCAGGATGTGTAATCCGAAGCACAGTATCATCGAAGTCCTGGTTCCCATAGTCAGAAGTTATGCAACTACTCGATCAGCTGCTCTACCTACCAATGTGTGACATTTGGGCGTCAGAGAGCTGCATAGTTGCGCAACGCAGTTCAACCGCTAACTGCTGAATTCTGGCTGCAAAGATCTTGAGTGATTCTTTGGACTAAACAGCTCGCTCCTCATTTGCCACAATAATTTCGTGGGTTCTTACGCCTCCTGCAGGGAACGTGCGATCATTTCGATTGATTGCTCGCGATCGACGCTTCTGATGCCCTGAGCAAATCACCGCTGGGCA